AGACCCCAGTTTCCAGGAGATATGACTGCCATGGGGATGAGGCCTCATGGTCTTAGGTATGATTTTTGATTTCTTAAAATGTGTTTGAGATTTCTAAACTATTATAGGGATTTCCAGTCAGATGGCCTATCAACATTGATGTCATTTGCCTACCATGGCCGTAGTCCTGTAACCACTTACACAGATATTTAGCTTTAAGCATAAGAATGTAAGAACAGCCATACTGGGCCAGACCAATGGTCCATCTAGCCCAGTATCCTGTCTGCTGACAGTGGCCAATGCCAGATGCCCCAAAGGGAGGGAACACAACAGGGAATCCTCACGTGATCCCTCCCCTGTAACCCATTTTCAGACAAGAAAAGGCTAGGGACAACCATAGCCATTGTTGGACCTAACCTCCATGAATCTAGCTCTTTTTTGAACCCTATTAAAGTGATATGTATAATCACATTGAAATCAGTATATAAAGATAAATGTGCATGTAAGCACCTGAGGAATTGCAGCCTCTTTTTTTGCACTAATTGATTGTGTGCATTACTGGAAATTGTTCAGAAATTAAAACTTAGTACTCTGATGTTGTTTTTGTTGTTTGGCCATTTGGGGGAGATGAAAGGTGGATTTTTCTTTTATTTTCATTATGCCCCTTGTATGTGCAAAACCCACAAAGCTGCATTTTTAGGCATTTATTAAGAAAGTTATTTAATCCAACTTTAGTTTTGATTTCTGCATATGGCATCTATAACATATTTTCATGTGAAGTATACACAATCAAGAAATGATATATAGTCTGTGTCATGAGAGGTAAAATAAATATCAATGGGGGGAGGGAATTGGACCCCCAATTTTTTTTACGCCTGTTGAGTTCAATTAAAACATAGGGTGTCAAGCAAGATGTTTTTTACTGTAGCAAGCATTTTTATCCAGTATTGTTTGTGTTCAGGGGTTGGTACAGCAAAAGTTTATTTAAACATCATGAATGCAATTATTTTGGTTAATTTTTGTGTTCTTTTCAGAAAAATCATTTAAATTTGAGATTGATTGGTATTAAAATATTTATTTATATGTGCTAAAACATAGTCTGCAAAACATTTCAGCAATTAGTCATTTTATGAACTCCAACAGATCAGGTGGGCTCAATGAATAGAGAGAACTCATTGTTTAATAAAATCTTTCATTTCAGATTTGGGTTTCCAGTAGGTGGCCATGGTCCACCAACAGGCCAAGAACGTTTCCTTGGGCCTCCACAGCAAATGCAGCGCGCTGGAGTTCCACCACAGCTGAGAAGGTCTTTGTCTATAGATATGCCTAGGCCATTGAACAACACACAAATGAATAATCCAGCTGGACTGTCTCAGCATTTTCCACCACAGGGTATTCAGGTTCAGCAACACAATATACTGGGGCAAGCATTCATTGAGTTACGTCACAGAGCCCCTGATGGCAGACCAAGACTCCCCTTTAATCCCTCTGCCGCTAATGTTATAGACACAGCACCCCAGCATCAGCGGCATACAGGATTTGTACCTAGACAGGATTTTCAGGGTCCACGACATACAGATCCAGTTAGAAATAATCCTCAAGGTCTAACTAACCAGTTGCAGATGTCTACAAATTTGGAGCATTTGCCACAATCTCAGCAAGATAATCGTGACCATCCGCCTGTGCTTGTCATGCATTCTTTAAGTCATCCCCTGGTTAATGATGCTTTTTCAGGAACTCCTTTGCCTACACCTACATCCAGTGAGGCATCTGGGAATCTACAAATTCCCAACCAGCCAACTGATGGATTAGAAGAGAAACTTGATCCTGATGATCCCTCTGTAAAAGACTTAGATGTCAAAGATCTGGAAGGGGTTGAAGTCAAGGACTTAGATGATGAGGATCTTGAAAATCTAAATCTAGACCCAGAGGATGGGAAAGGAGATGAGTTGGACACTTTAGATAATCTAGAAACCAATGATCCTCACCTTGATGACCTTTTGAGATCAGGGGAATTTGATATAATTGCATACACAGACCCAGAACTTGATCTGGAGGATAAAAAAAGTATGTTTAATGAGGAATTGGATCTTAGTGTCCCTATAGATGACAAATTAGGTACCCAGAGCAAGACAGAACCAAAACAGAAAGAACAAAGTGATAAAACTTCAGTTCCCGCTGGTGAACTTTCTCCGCAGAAGAAATCAGCTATGGAAAGTGAGATTAAAACAGAAGTGCTTTCTCCAAACTCATTAGAGGAAACAAAGTCTGAAAATGAAAAAAGTGATGGAAATGTGGAATCTGCAGGTCCTCCGCTTGCTGATGAAACAAAGTTAAATGATGGAGAAAAAGCTCCTGTGCAGCCTAATAATCCAGAATTACCTGACAAAACCATTATTACGAATCAGGAAACAGCTGTGTCTAGTCCAAATGTTGTTCAGGGCCCTGCTCAATTGCCTGCTCAGGGTGTTATAAGTTCTTGCAGTATTTCTGGATCCACACCTGTCCTTTCAAGTCTGCTGGCCAATGAAAATTCAGATAACTCTGACGTACCGACATTAGGCTCTCCAGTTCAGTCTTTGCCTGTAACACAAACAAATCATGTATCAGGTGTTTCACAAACACTAATGACACCTGCTGGACAAATTTTGGAAAACACTTTAAATTCTACTCTGACTGTGGTTCCACGGGTAAACCATAGCTTCTCTCAAGTGGCAACAGTAAATCCAGGATTTATCCAAGGTCAGTCAACTAACCACGGCTTTGGGACAGGACAATCTAGCAATCAAGCCGTGACTTTGGCAAACCGCCCTGGTCCCAGTGGTATATCTGGTCCCCAGCAGGCAATGCTCCCTCAAACTCTAGCCCAGCAGCAAAATCGGGAGAGACCTCTTTTGCTAGAGGAGCAGCCCCTTCTTCTGCAGGATCTTCTGGATCAGGAAAGGCAGGAGCAGCAGCAGCAGCGACAGATGCAAGCCATGATTCGTCAGCGTTCAGAGCCATTTTTTCCCAATATTGGTATGTATGTAATACTTTTTTGGTGCTGGTTAGTTCACTAGTTCACTAAACAAATAAATACCAGAAGAGAATATAAAAAATCTGACTAGCTATTGACAAAAATACGAAAGCATTTGAAACTGAATTTGTAGCTGGCATGATGAAGAGCAAATTGAAATGAAAATTTAAGCATGTAAGTGAAATTCTGCTTATATTGATGTCAGTGGTAAAAATCCTGTTCACTTCTATGGGGCCAGGGTTTTATTCACAGTTTTTTTTTGAAATTGTGTTTGACCTTGAGCAAGATTCTTAACCTCTTTATGCTTCAGTTTTCCATGTATGAGCAAGAGATCCTCAGATAAAAAGTACCACATTATTTTACCTTTCATCTGTATTTTTATTTTATGATGAATAAATTACCATGTTGTCCAGGACTCCCAACTGTCTCAGAGGAAGCAGTGCTTTATAAATAAAATGTATATGAATTAATATGCATTTGACCAAAGTACAGTTAATTATTAACTCATCCACATTGGACCTAGGGAAAAATAATTCTTCATGTACTAAACAAAAAAAAAAAATAGAAAATTTCAAAACAGAAGTGGCAATCTGTTTTTATTGGTGTAATATAGCATATCAATTTTATAGTATTTAGATGTATAAAACAGGTATTTTAATCCCATAGCTTGTTAATATAATATGAAAATGCTAGAACACCATTGAGTCAATGTGTGGGACAGGAGTCTAAACACAATTGGAGGTTGCTGACTAGCTGTCAGTGATGTATCAATGTCAATAATGCCTTTTAAGTGCACAAATCAGACTCCTTTTCCTGATTTTTTTTTTTTTTTAAGATATAAATTCTGTTTCACAATAGCAATAAATTCTTCCTCCAAGTCACTCCTCATGGTGACTAAGGGAGCCTTGTCAAATACCTGCATTAACTTGGTAATGTTTATAATTTAATAGATTCACCCTCTGGCCAAGTCTTCTTATTCCAGCCTCTCTCAAACTGATATTCCTTCCTTTGCATTTCTTGACTCGTAGTAATGAAAGTTACTTCAATTGCTATAATGGATACTGTCAGTCTTATTCCTGAGATGCTTATTGGAGTGCAAGAGTCTTACAGGATATAGAAACCTGCATGTTAATCTCTGTAAAGTGAAGGAAAAAATTAATGTTCTGTATGCGTGGTTAAATGCTTGTAATGCGGTTGTTTTAAACTGAAAGTGATTAGTACAAGTGCCAGCATTGGAAATATGCATTATGTTGATAGTTCTATAAAATCAAAATGTTCAGATGTATAATTCATCCTGTATTATTTTTGTTTCATAGACTTTGATGCAATCACTGATCCCATTATGAAAGCAAAAATGGTAGCTCTTAAAGGTATCAATAAAGTAATGGCACAGAGCAATATGGGAATGCCACCAATGGTTATGAACAGGTAGGCAAAAGATGAAACTATTGTTTTTTTTAAAAAAAAGTAACAATGACCCAAGTATTATACTTTTTTAGCTACCAGCATCAGTAGACCTGAAGAAGAGCTTTATGTGGCTTGAAAGTTTATCTCTCTTACCAACAGAACTTGGTCCAATAAAAGATATTACCTCACTCACCTTGTCCCGCTGGAGTCTGAAAAGTCATTCTCAGCCACAGTATCAGGAAATTATAAACCATCACAACTGTTCACAGTGAATCACAGACATAAAATATGGAAAAAGGTCTGTGTTACCTATTAACTCATACTCCGTGCTTATACAGCGGGCCTGGGCAAAATAGAGCCACTAGATCCAGCCTGCAAACATAGCGGGAAGCCTCTGGGAGTCTCCCTGCTTGCCCCACCCCTGCACACCTCTGAGAAAAGTGGCTGTTGGGCCATTTGTGTTTCACAACTGTGGAGAAGAGGCAAGAGAGGCTTCATGCACTGTCCCCACCCATAGCAAAATCCCATTGACCTGCATCCTGTGTAGGGGTAGGGCAGGCAAGGAGGCTGCCTGAGAATCCTGCTGGGCTGCTGCATGGGAGTCACTTAGGTAAGTCTCCCGATCAGAGCCTGCCTCTGGCACCCCAGCCCCTCCCTTCTGCCAATCCACTGCCACCCACATAACCTCTGCCCCCATCCCGAACTCTTACCCCCTCCCAATTCCTGCACCCCAATTCCTTGCCCCAGATCACAAGCCAAACCCCTGCCCTAGGTCACAGCCCAAACTCCTGTACCTCCTCCTGCACCCCAGTCCCATGCCCCAGGTCATAACTGCCTCCTTCACCCAAACTCTCTCCCAGACCCTATATGGTCTCCTGTACCCCAGTGCCTTCCCCCAAGCTTCCTTCTGCACTCAACCTCCATCCCAGACCGCGGACTTCCTCTATTAATATGATGGAAGAATGTGGTCCTTGACCACTATCAGGGCTGGTCCCCACTCTGGCACTCCAAGTGCAGAAGGTGGGGGCCTGCAAAGACTTTAAATACCTTGCCTCTAGGCTATGCTTACAAACCTCCCCTCTTCCCCCAGAGTCACAGATACACTGGCTCCGAGAAATAAAAGCTGCCACCATCAAGTGATTTAACCCTGAAAAAACAGGAGGGAACACTTGAATTCCTTTCCCAGGGATACCACAAGCTCTTTTTCCCCCAAAAGCTTGGAAAAAGAAGAGTAAAACAAGCTGCAGTCTCTGGTAGCTTTGTCTAGGCAAGACAGACAGACAGACAGACAGACACACACACACACACACACACACACACACACACACACCCCTCCCTCCCTCCCTCCTGTTACTTTCACACAAACAGACAGACACACAGACAGACACACACACACACACACACACACACACACACACACACACACCCCTCCCTCCCTCCCTCCTGTTACTTTCCAGGACACAAGAATCAAATAATCACCGTAAAAAGTGATTTTTATTACAAAACAGAAGATATACTTGATAAAGCATACTTGATTGCTGGGTGTTACAGAACAACTGAGTAAAACAAATTAAAACCGAGAAAATCTCTGGGAACAACTCTTAGATGGTGAATGGGGGAGAGGAGGCATGGATTCACACAGAGCAGTTCAAACCAAACCACAACAATAAAGAAAAATAACCCTACTCACAACTAAATACACATTTCCCTTTATTTACTCACGATCCTTGCCAGGTACAGTCCACTTCCATGCCCCAAATTCCTTGGAGGCATGGTAATCCTACCTGGGTTTAAATTGGGGATGTTAAATATTGGTTAATTGAATGGTTGAGTAATCTCTTGAATTCTTATTGGTTACTTGACTATTCTATAGTCCCCAGGGGCGAGGTTGGCAGCCAGTGCGCTCCAGCCCCACTCCAAAGGAGCCGCCTGTCACTTAGTGCTGCTGCCTCTGTATTAGAGACAGCAGCGTGGGGCGCCAGGTGGGAGCTAGTCCTCGAGGGGACCCTGTTTAAAAACCAGCTCCCCTTACGGGCCAACGGCCTGTTTCCCCATGCTGCTGCTTCTGATACAGGGGTGACAGCAACCCCTGTCCAGAGGATGGGGGTCTGAGCTCCTGTACCCGGCGTGAGCTGGAACGAAGTCTGAGCTGCCTTCCCGCCTACCTCCTAATAACGCTTTAAATGCAGAGTCGCGGTGGGGGGTAGGTCCCAAACCCATCACAAGCCAGGACTTGGCCAGGCTGCTAAAAAATTTACTGGTGGTGTGGGGGAAATATGTGTAGTCTATAGCATTAACCTATAAGCTTTTGCTTATTGATTAACCGACTACACTATTACATCCCTAGTTTTAAGTATCAGAGGGGTGGCCGTGTTAGTCTGAATCTGCAAAAGCAGCGCGGAGTCCTGTGGCACCTTATAGACTAACAGATGTATTGGAGCATAAGATTTCATGGGCGAAGACCCACTTCGTCAGATGCATGTAGTGGAAATTTCCAAAGGCAGATATAAATATGCAGGCCAGAATCAGGCTAGAGATAACGAGGTGAATCCAGTCAGGGAGGATGAGGCCCACTTCTAGTAGCTGATCTGGAGGTGTGAATACCAAGAGAGGAGAAGCTGCTTTTGTAGTTAGCTAGCCATTCACAGTCTTTGTTTAATCCTGAGCTGATGGTGTCAAACTTGAAGATGAACTGTAGCTCAGCGGTTTCTTTTCTAAGTCTGGTCTTGAAGTTTTTTTGCTGCAGGATGGCTACCTTTAGATCTGCAATTGTGTGTCCGGGGAGATTGAAGTGTTCTCCTACAGGTTTTTGTGTATTGTCATTCCTAATATCTGATTTGTGTCCATTTATTCTTTTATGTAGGGACTGTCCAGTTTGACCGATGTATATAGCAGAGGGGCATTGTTGGCACATGATGGCATATATTACTTTAGTAGATGTGCAGGAGAATGAACCAGTGATCAGCCAGTTTAAGGCGGGGAACACTGCCTGCCTCTTGCCCCCTCTCCGCCGCCGCCACTTACAAGCCAGTGGCTGAGGTTTCCC